GGGACTCCAGGATCATGACCTGAGCCGAAGGCAGTTGCTTAACGAACTGAGCCACCCAGGCACCCCAAGTCTCCCTTTTGGTAAGTGGAGAAGCTGGGAAGGGAATTCAGCCTCATCCCACTCCCAGGCCGACCTTCTTCCCTTGTGTCACCCTGTAGGGGTCAGACCAGGAAGAGTCCAAACCCTATTAGAAAGGAAGAACTCTTCATTTAGAGCCACTTATTTTTTTAGTGAATTCATGCTGTGTCTTATTTTCACCACTTTTTAAAAGATTCACAAACCATTTGTCTAATTTTCCATTCCAGAATTTTGCCAAGGAAAAAAATGTGTTCACAGGCTTTCAGTTTCTTCTTTTAGAAAATGAAGACATTTGTCCATCTCCAGTCTTCTGGCACCTCTCCGGTTCCCAACAAAGTTACCACCACATTTCAGATTCTTGCAGTAAACCAGAGAAGTGAAGTTAGCACTAAAGGGCTGGATGCTTTCTTACATCCTCACCTGCCTTGGACTAAAATTCTCTCTTTCATGTGTAGCTCTTACCTTTTCGAATTTGAAGATAATTCTTTGTGATGGAAAATGAAAGCAAGTAGGAGCTGATGAATTCTGCTTTTTCCTCTGTCATCTGTTATCATTACACCTTCTGTTCCTTGCTCTTCTTGCTGAGGACATCAATTTTCCTGATGCTGCCTTTATGTATTGGTACTTTTAAACACTGGTATTACAAGGTAGTATTTTTTGGATTAATTTATTAAAATATATCATAGACAGTTTAGTACAAAACCTTGCTTTTAAAATTATTTTGCCTATTTCAAAGCATTTTAGAGCTGTTTTGCTACATAAAAGATAACTATAAAGTATCCTATTTACAATATTTCTTCTAAAATGTAGAGTTTCAGGCAGGAATTCAACAACTTTATTGTTAAAACGAAGACCTTTTTTTCCAGCTTCATTGAGATATAATTGACATATAACATTGCATAAGTTTAAGGTGTACACTTAAATATTGCAAAGTGATTACCACCAAAGAATTAGCTAACACTTCCATCCTGTCACATAATTACCATTTCTTTTTTGTGGTGAGAACATTTAAGATCTACTCTCCTAGCAACTTTCAAGTATATAAGATAGTATTATTAGCTATAATCACCAAAGTTTGGAAGTTTGTACCCTTTGACCAATATCCCCCCATTTCCTCCACCCCCCAGCCCCAGCCCCTAGCAACCACCACTCTATTCTTTGTTTCTCTGATTTCAGCTTTTTTAGATTAAAATGGAGGAACTTCCAAATGGTAGGAATAGAAATTGAGTTCCTCTCTCAGAAAGTAAAAATGATAATGCAGGGGGGAAAAGAGATACTATATTAATAATAGAAATTTTGGGGCGCCTGGGTGGCTCAGTCGTTTAGTGTCTGCCTTCAGCTCAGGTCATGATCCCAGGGTCCTGGGATCAAGTCCCGTATCGGGCTCCCTGCTCCGCGGGAAGCCTACTTCTCCCTCTCCCACTCCCCCTGCTTGTGTTCCCTCTCTCGCTGTGTCTCTCTCTGTCAAATAAATAAATAAAATCTTTAAAAAAAAATAATAGAAATTTTGTTTATACCATTTTCCCTCTTCCAAGTTACTCATTCTCTCTGTTCACGAACTAGCCTTATGTTTTAATACTCGATTTGAATTTCTCTAGATTTCCTATTTAAAAAAAAAGATATTTGTCATCATTTTGTACTTCCCCAAACAGCTAGCAAGAAACCCTCTTCAAAGAAGGTGGTTACAATTTTATATTCAGTTGCTTCATTTATGTGTTTTCAAAGCTCAAAGCGGTGACTCAGAGCTGACTCGTTGGGTGGGCATCTTAGAATTCAGCCACGCAAAGTTTATGCTTGGCATTTTCAGTATTTCATCTCTTCTCTGCCCTTCCTAAATTCTCTTACTGTGACAGGATTTTCAGTCCACTTCAATGAGCTGTTCTAGAACACCTGCCACAGGCAGTCCCTGTCCTTTGCATTGGATTACAACTACGAGTCGGTCCCTGCCTGTAAGACACTCATGGCCTCGCTGGGAAGACAGCCATGTCAATAAATAATATAACAGTGTGTGATGTGTGAAACAACTGAAGCATGGGCAAGGCTGTGAAATTGTGCAGAGGAGGAAATTCTCACCGCGGGCGAGGTTCAGGAAAGTGTCTCAGCACCAGTGAGTGTTGCAGTCACCAGATATGAAAGGATGAATAGGTATGCAGCGAGAAGTCAAGGTGAAAAGGACATTCCAGGCAGCAGAAATACCATGTCGAAAAGAGCGTGATGTGTGTGGGAAAACAATGATGTGACCATTGTTCTGGTACATGTGTAAGTCAAGTGTGGGGTCCAGATCATGATGCCATGGAGGCTGTGTACAGGAATTTGAACTTCATCCTGGCTGCAGAGGGTTTTGAGTGGGGGGAAATGACATGGTCAGAAAAGATCTTTGAAGATTATCCTGGCAGCAGTTTGGAGGATGACTTGGAGACGGCTGGACTGGAGGTAAAACCACAAATTAGGAGATGATTTTATTAGTCTTGTTCTAATCCAGGTATTGGTACTGAAAAAGAGATTATGCCAAAATTTAAGCTAAGAGGTTATATTAACATGGTGACCTGGTGATAGTTTGGACGTGGGAAAGGATGGCAAAATGGCTCCTAGATTTCTGGTTTGTGGGTTGGCTAGCTGCTTAAGACTTCCAAACTAATAATATCCCTGCTTCAGCTCTTCCCACTCTACAGTCTCACATAGCAGTCTGGGTGATTTTTCCCTTTTGGCTTTCTACTTTGTAAAATTTCAATTGAAAGAATAGCGTAGGGGTGCCTGGGTGGCTCAGTTGCTTAAATGTCTGACTCTTGATTTCAGCTCAGGTCATGATCTCAGTGTCGTGAGATTGAGCCCCACATCCGGCTCTGTGCTGAGCGTGGAGCCTGCTTGGGATTCTCTCTTTCCCTCTCCCTCTGACCCTCCCCTGCGCTCTTTCTCTCTCTCTCTCTCTCAAAAAAGAAAAAAAAAAAAAGATTAGTGTAATGAACACTCGCATAGCTTTCATCTGGATCTACCAATTGCTAACATTTTACCATATACCCCCTCGCTCGCTCACCCCTCAGTCCTCTCTCCCTTTGTCTCTCTGCAGTGGATTTGTGTTGGGTCAGTTTAGCTAAACTGGAACCACATTTTCCAGATTTTACCCTCTTAAAACCCTGCCACCGTTCGTGGATCTGGCAGAAGACAGATCCCAGAGATACCCAGATTAGAGGTAGAGGACTTTATTTTTCACGGCATAAGCAGTCAACATGAGCTTCATGTTCATACAGCTTCTTTTGCCCTCACACTCACCCCCCACCAAGTCCCACCGGGGCAACATGGAGGTAGACTCTGGTGGGTGTTACACATGTAATGAGTTTGTGTCACAGCTAAGAGACTTTGAGCTTAGGAAAACTCCCAATCTTTTATAATAGGCTGCAAGCAAACCTCCCCAACCTTTGCCTTGGAAGGTGTCATTATTCCATTATTGTCTTATTATATTGGAGAGCAAATAAATGTACCCTCTACCCCAGAGGAAGACACTATCTCTTTCTTTCAAGGCTGTTCACTATACAAATATCTTTTAAAAGATATTTCAAAATAGGAGCACCTGGGTGGCTCAGTTGGTTGAGCATCTGCCTTCGGCTCAGGTCATGGTCTCAAGGTCCTGGGATCGAGCCCCACGCCAGTCTCCCTGCTTGGAGGGGGGTGTCCACTTCTCCCTCTCCCTCTGCCCTTCTCCCCCACCCTGCTCATGCTCTTTCTCTCAAATAAATAAATAAATTCTAAAAAAAAAAAGATGTTCCAAAAAAAAAGGACACTGCCTTTGCTCTGAAATGTGCAGAAAAGTGAGAGAACTATGGAGAAGAGTTGCCCCACATGTGGTTCCAGGGCCATGAGGGATTTCTCTGCATGAGATTTAGAAGGCAGAAGTGAAGTAGCAGCCATCTTCTCCTTATACTTGTAATGTCAGGCAGAGCACCAGCAAGTGTTACGGTTGTCTCTTATCTGCTGGCTCACCTGCTAGTGTGGACAGTACTGCAACTCTAGCTCCTGCCAGATCTCCTGCAGCTTCTTCACCTCCTGGGGAGGGTGCCTAAATAGCTCTTAGATGAAAAGTATCAGCTGGATTCCTGCATTATACCCCCATCATTCAAGTTGGGAGCTTGAAGGCGATGAAAGACCTACCTGAGTTCTAGTCCATCCCATGGATGTCCAGCTCAACCTCACAAATTTCAGTTTGTTCTTGCCTCCTCCACGTCACATCCATCTTCCTTTCCTGAGTACTTGCCCTGTGAACTACAGGCTCTAGAACCAGTCATAGAAACAACAGTCATATGGATCAATCAAAATAGTGTAGGACTGGCATAAAATCAATAAATAGATCAATGGAACAAAATGGCCCCCAGATAGATCCACACTTATAAGATCAGTTTATTTATTTAATTTTTTTTAAAGATTTTATTTATTTATTTGAGAGAGAGAGAATGAGAGATAGAGAGCACAAGAGGGAAGAGGGTCAGAGGGAGAAGCGGACTCCCTGTGAGCAGGGAGCCCGATGCGGGACTCGATCCCGGGACTCCAGGACCATGACCTGAGCTGAAGGCAGTCGCTTAACCAACTGAGCCACCCAGGTACCCCTAAGATCAGTTTATTTTTGACAAAAGCATCAAAGCAAAGCAATGGGGAAAGGAAAGTCTTTAAACAAATTGTATTGAAATAACAAGATGTCCAAAATTGTTTTCGCTATTTTGGTTTCTTACATTTCCAAATAAATTTAAAAATCAGCTCGTCTATTTCTTCAAAGTCTTCAGAGACTTTGATTAAGATTGCATTGATTCTATAAGATCAATTTGGGCACAACTGATATCTTAACAATTTTGGATCTTTCAATCCACGAATATGATATATTTTTCTGTTACTTAGATTCTTAATTTCTCTCAGTCACGCTTTACCTTTTTTCATTGAAGAAGTCTTGGACATCTTTTGTTAAATTTATTCCTAATTATGTTATTTTTAAATGCTATAAATGTATAAATAGCATTTAAAATTTTATATTTTCTAGTAGTTTTGTTGCTAGTGTATTGACATACAAGTGATTCTTTAACCACACTTCCCTGCTAAATTCATTTCTTAATTATAGCACTTTTTTAGTATATTCCCTAGGATTTTCTTTGTAAGCGGTCAATCATGTGATCTGTGAATAGAAACAGTTTTACCTTTTCCTTTTGAATCTCTATATCTTTTTTTCCTGCCTTATTGCATTAGCTAAGACCTCTAATACAATAATACTAAGTGTGTTGAATGTGGGTATCCTAGCTTCATGCCCAGTCTTAGAGGGAAAGCCTTCCTTTGTCCATCCGTAAGTGATACTAGCTGCAGTTTTTGTACATGTTTCTATACAGACTAAGAAAATTTTTATTATTAATTTGATGAGAATTTATGTCATGAATAGTTATTTTATCAAATGCTTTTTATGTGTTGCTAGACAGAAGATATATAACTATATATATTTATATATCTATATTTAGACCTCTCCCTCCCTCTCTCTCGATATATATACACACATATATATATGTGTGTGTTTGTGTGTGTGGTGCTATATAGATCAGTGGAAAAAATATAGATAGGTATATAGATCTAGATATGTAGATATAGATGTATCTGGAACCCCCCATTTCTATACAGCTTATTCCTCTCCAGTGCCTGGCTCCCGAGATTTTAACCAACTCAGAGACCGCAGACTCTCATGCCTGCCTCCTCAGTTCAGCAGGATCTCTATGCTCTGCCCAAATTCAAGCCCTCTGCACTACAGTTAGGAAATTTTCCTTAGGCAGAGAGCCGATCAATCATGAGACTCACCTCATGGGTTTTCTTTCTCTCAGAAACTGCAGTCTATGCTGTTAATTGTACACTGTCTGAAAATAGTTGCTGAATATGTTTAATGCAGTTTTACAGTTGATCATTCCACTATGACCAGGAGTGAAATTCAAACACAGCAAAATTTCAAAAATGGTTTTCTCTTTCTCTTAAATAAGGGATAACAGGCTTCCTGTTTTTTTTTATTTCCAATTTTTCTATATTTTCCAAATTACCTCAATGACAAAGTTTCCCCTGTATTCAGGAAAAACCTATGGTTTTAAATATATGTATATTTACTTTGGCACACCTATCATCATTTTGCTTCTACCCTGGCATGAACACACTATACTTTGAAGGCCAACATTAGATCCTGGAATGAAGTTGAAAGATCGTTAGCTGGAACAGTAGAAAACAAACATTGCACCAAGAAATTGGGACATGATGTTTCTCTTTTAGCATCATGTCTGTATTCAGGTAGGAATAAGGGTAAAGATGGAAGGTGAAAGGTGGTATGCTAAATGGGTTTATCTCTATTCTATTGGCAAAGGAAGAATCGGTTAATGGATATTGGGTAGACAACTGGAAATCTCTGCCATGAACTCTAACGCCTGAGACCTAAGAAATCATCTAGTTCAAGGGTGCCTGGCTGGCTCAGTTTGTAACTCTTAATCTCAGGGTTGTGAGTCTGAGCCCCAGGTTGAAGGTAGAGATTATTTAAAAAATAAAATATTAAAAAAAAAGAAATCATCTAGTTCACAGTCATTTTGCAAGGCTTGAAGAAGTTAGTTTGCCTCAGTAATAGAGCTTGTTAATGATAATGTATTGGAGTAGAAAGAATATGAGCTTTTGAGATTTGTTTCTATTTCTAGAGTCATATTCTGCCACTTTGGGGCAAGTTATTTAACCTCTCTGAGTCTCAGCTTCCTCACCTCTAAAATGATAGTAATCTTACCTACTTCAATTGATTATTGTGAAAATTAAATGTACTAACAGGTAATCCCAAATAAATGGTTGGTGCTCAATAAGTATTATCTCCATATTCTTTCCAGTTATTTGTGGAATAAAGACACTGTCTACAATAACTCTAGAGATTGTACAGTCTACTGCTTTGAAGAAAGAAATTCATAAGACTCAAATAACGAATACTGAAACAATATGTTTTTTATAGAACAATGACACTATAAACATTTTAAAGAAATAAACATATTTTAATTTGTATATGTTGATAATACCTGTGATTTTATGTATCTACTTGACCGTGCCATGGGGTGCCCAGATATTCAGTCAAATATTATTTTGTTTCTGATGAGATTAACATTTGAATCAATAGACAAAGTAAAGCAAATTCCCCCACCAAATGGGGGTGGGCCTCATCCAATCAGTTGAAGGGCTTGAATAAAACAAAAGGCTAACCTTCCCTCAAGTAAAGGAGAATTTTTTCTGCCTTCAGACTCAAACTGAAACATCAACTCTTCCTGGGTCTCAAGCCTGCCAGCCTTTGAATTGGAACTGAAAATTGTCTCTCCTAGTTCTCAGGTCTGTGAACTTGGACTGGAATTGTACCAAGCTCTCCTTGGTCTTCAGATTGCCAACTCACCCTGCAGATCTGGGGA